TTCTGTTTGATGTAATGAATGGTTATAGATGAGTGTAAATTACCTTTATGTACTGTAGATACAGAACAATTTTTTATTTCATCAATCAGCTGATCCTGCTAGTAATAAGTAATGTGCGTTATTTCAGTATTTTTATTTTTCCCTAACTCTAGAAGCTATTAGAAATTTTTCTGAATGTTTATATTTACTTAGGTGATTTATTTGTTAGCTGGCAGTATTTAAGTAAAGTTTTTGGCTAGTCTACCCAACTCTATAAGATTAAGTACACTAATACAAATATGGACTAAATAAGATGAGATCTTATATTCAAATAATCATGCCTATCCATGTTGTACGTATTTGTATATTGTGTTCTTATTAAAAAGCTACAAGGTTTTGGGTATGTTTATACATATATGTGTAATTTAATAATTCAAAAAGATGTTCTTTGATATGTTTACTGTAGCCTTTAGATTTATTATTTTATGACAGTTATTTCCTCTGAATCCTTTTTTTGAAATTTCTTTGGTTTCCTGTATAGCATGCTCCTTTTTTCAGTCACTGGGAGTAGTCATGATTAAATATTTTTATTTGTCTAGACGCTACAAACATTGTTCAGTGTGAATAATAAAGTATTATTACAAAATGTATTGTTTGTAGATTTCTAAATGTACTTATGCTTTCACCAAAAGTCTATAAAACGGCAGTCACTGAACAGGCTACTGTACAGCTTCTTGTTGTTGTTTTCCCCCCAAAGGTCAACCTCTAAATTAAATAATTATTTACTTGATCTGCATCCTCTTTGCTCCAGCATTGTGGTTAGCCACCAATGTATTTGAGGTTATTTGTATTCTGTATTCTGTCATGAGGCTTTTAGCTATTTTGATTTGCATATTCATTTTTGGAAGTTGCCCCCAGTGGCCAATTTGAGTGAGACTGCATCAAATAGTTGTGGGTCACAACCTAAACCTATCATTCAAGTTTCATTAACAATAGCTCAATGTTAACTCAGTCAAATTCCTGCTGAAATCTGATTGGCTAATGGCTGCTATGTTCTTAACTAATTGGGTCATCATTAAAGATCCAATTACAGAATAGTACATAGATGAAGTATACCAAATTTCATCTTGATTGGACTTACGGTTCTGGAGAAACAGTTATCTGACCTTAGCTCCGTGCCTATGTATGAACACATCCCCAACTTTGCACATTTCCTCAGATTCTTGTCCTGCATATGCCTGCAAATTGACACAGGTATTCATGAGGTACAGCTGTTTGATTAAATTAAGCTCCACCTGATTAGAATTGATAGATATGTCACGGCCATATTGTTAACAAATGTCAATATGTTTTTGATTATTGTTGAGGTTCACACTTTCCTGAACAGTTTGACTACAGGTTTGTGAAGATTAGTCAAAAATCCTAGGACTAGTTCCTAAAAGTAGGTTTAGCATATTATGCAAATTATTTAAAAAATATAAGTGGGTGGAGCTAAATTGTTATTGGAGCCTTTTGTTTGCGAGAACACAAGTAATAAGTAGCAAAAAGAATTTTCACTGCAGGACTTAAGGTATTCGAGATATGAGCCAAAACATAAAACGCTTTGCCACCATTAGGCCGATTGGGCCCATCTCTCTTGTCTGAGTAGCAGAAGGGAGTACTACATATTAAACAAGTTTCATATCTGGAGGACCTATGGTTTGGTCTAAGAAGAAGAGGAATTAAAATCTTAACGAAAAATACGGTTTCAACCACTACATACTAGAGCCCTAATAATAATAAATACAGCGACAAGTGGCAATCAGGAGGGACCAAGCAGACTGTGTGTATGTATGTGCAGACCACACCACAGGTAGCTAGTTCTTGCATAGAATACTAAAGCAACCATAGATGAAAATACCATTAAAATTTTGTAACTGTAGCTTAATGCTAAAACTTTGAAGTGTGTGCTGTAATGTGGTTGGCTAATGGCCTCTATGTTTTTGAAGTAACCTAGTCAACAGTAAAAATCCATTGATATATTAGCACAACTATGCAGTACAGCAGATTTCAGTTTGATTGGATTTATTGGTTTGATTGATGTTTCAGGCTTGAGAAACATTTATTTGAATCTAATCCAATCCCCTGTTGAAATCTGTACGATGAACTTTGTTTTCTTATACAACTACTGTATTATAGGATTTCATAGTGTGTTATTGGTGTTAACTGATTCAAATAAAAATGTCCCTAAACCTCACTCTACAAATACACATGTTGGATAATTTTACATACAAAAAACACAAAAGTCTAGATTATGGTTCCATAATGTCTAGAATAGGATCGTATAAATCCTAAATTAGGATCATATAAATATGGACACAAACATGTATCCCATAGACTCCCATGTCTCTCTTTTCTTGTTAAGAACACACACACACACACACACACACACACACACACACACACACACACACACACACCAGGGTCCTTAGGTTTTTCTGTGTATCTACTTTTTGGAAGGCTATATTTCTTCCCCAAATGTATTATTTAAAAAAATAACGTGAAATAAAGTTTTAAATTTTGACCAATAAAAAGCACAGCAAATTTCATCTTTGTCTGTCAAATGGTGAGAACATACATGCAATTCTTTAGTTAGAACAGCCCTGATGGGCCAATAGTCATGAAATATGAGGGGTGGCCAGAGAGTGTCCTACGGAAAATGCACTGTAAAGTGAAAATTTAACTTTGTAATCAGAAAATACGTCTTTCGTACATACATGCAATGGCCTAAAATTAATTGACCTGTAGCTGCCAAAAGGTTTGGTCAATCAAAATTCTTTCAGCATGTTTTCGTGAACAAACTTCTTGCTAGAAGAGCAAAATCTACTTGCTAGATTTGATTTTATTTATTTTATGCTGATCAGATGAATGGCTAGGACTACTTTGAAAAAGAATGTTTTTTAGGTAATTAAAAATGGCCGAAAGTATATCAGCCAAAAGTAATTAAACTATATGGCAAAAAGATGCAGGAGGACTCAGGAATTCTGCTGATATAACAAATTTTACTCTATTCCCTACAGTTGAAAAGGTAAGTTCATTTATTATAGCACCCCCTCCTGGTGGGTATGGGTTATTTTATTTGCCTCATGAGGGTGTGGGATATGGGGCCTACCTACCGAATTTGGTGGCAATATTTCAGTCTTACAGCTGTTAAGTAAATTGGACTCCACCTCATTAGAATTGATTGACACAGTGGTTGTCATATTGTTTATAAATGTCAACATGTTTCTGAGAATTACTGAGGGGCACACTCTGCTGAGTAGTTTGACACCAAAATTGTGAAGATTGGACAAAAAATCCTAATACAAGTTCTCAAAAGTATATTTTGCATATTAAGCAAATTATTAAAAACCTGAGTGGATGGAACTAAAAGGATGGTCCAAAAGGCAAATTACTAGGGGATAATGAGACAAGGCATGGGGAAATGTATCAATGTACCCCTTATTTTACAAAGGATTTGCTTGTTTTCAATGAATAATGCCCCCAGAGGCCAAGTTGAGTAAGTCTGTATCAATTATTAGGGGTTCCTTAGAGGGACCATACTTTCAATTTTTGTTTCAATAGCTCAGTGTTTACCTTGTCAAATGCCTGCTAAAATCAGACTGGCCAATGGTGGCCA